CTGAGGCAGCTGCACAGTAACATCAGCAGAGAATGCTCAAGGAATAGGTATTAAACTCATACTTTTCTTCTGCATTTCTTTCAGTTAAAGCCTGACCTCTCGCATCCAGGGTAAGTTAACTTAATGCTTCGTATGAAATCAGATAAAAAGAAACATTAATTCGCAGCTTCAGATAAGCAACCGATAATAGAAAACGGAAACCGTGCAAGTATTTTAGGACCCTTCACAGGAGAGGCCGCACCTCGCGCAGCGCAGCGGGGAGCGAGCAACGCCTCGGGCACCAGGGCTCCCGTGCGTCCTTGCACGTTGCAGGAGATTTTTTCCCTTTTCACTGAAAAATATTCCTGAAATTTGAATAAATCTTTGTTTTTGAACAATGGAGATGATCGAATAGAGAGGTGGAATAAAGATACTAAATTTACAAAATCTAAAATTCCTTCAAACAAGAAGTTCTTTCTAGGAATTATCTTTTCCTCCCCCTGCGGTTTCTATTTCTCTGAACAAAACATAATACAGCACTATACGTTAAACTCTACAGAGCTGGCCCAAGGTACTACTCATTCAGGGGGGAAATTTCCAAACCTAAATGCACTTATTAAAAAACAGTAACATAATATTGTAATAACTATGTACGGTATCAGATGGGTACTAGACTTACCAGAGTGATCACTTTGTAAGTTATTTAAGTGTCTAATCACTATGTTTGTATACCTGAAACAAATATTATAGTAGTATAATATATGTAATATAAACTGCAATTGGAAAATAAAAATTGTTTTTAAAAAACAATTAACTGAAAATGAACCAAATCTCAATAGCACCTACAGACCTGATTTCCCTGAAGGAGCATACACAGGTTTCCTTCTGTACCCAAAAGTAAAGCATGTCTATAAAACCTTTTATAAGCAGGAATGGCATACAGCAAAGAAGAAACTACTGTTAATTTATAAGAAAAAATTCTGAGTGTTCTCAAACCCAAAATTCAACACACACACAATGCTTTTATTTCATTCACCACAACTGAAATGCTTAATTATGTCCAGTTTTACGCAAGCTCTTTTAGGCTTTTCAGATACCTCGGGACACACCTTGCTTACAGACAAACACTATAAATGGAGGTGACACACAGATGCTCACAAACACAGTTCCAAGCTGTGGCAGCTGGAGCTGAGGTGCTGAGTGTGGTTCCCATGGAAGGAGCTTGGGGGCCACTTGCAATGTTCTGGGTGCGCACCGCCTCCAAGGCGGCCCGTGCAAAACAAACGCTGACTGCTGGCTTCGCTTTTCACCTTTTTTCATAAAAGTGAAAATCGTTTTCAAGTTTCTTTTAGGTAGTGAATACAGGTACTAATGTAGGTCTTTTGTAAAAGCAAAGGGGTGTAACAGGAAGTGGGGTTAGGCAAACTTTTGAAAAACCAGTATAGAATAATATTAATATTTGTCAGAGTTGATTTATGAGTAAAGCTAGTTTTTGATCAGCAAGTAGGTACCTGTTTGCTATTCATAGCTCTTTTTCAGAAACAAAATAAATAAAAGAACTAAACTTTGAATTCAAGAAACAAAGTAGACAAACACCAAAAAAAGTAGAATGGAAACAAATATTGTTAAAAATTAATAGTATGATGAGGACAAAAGAGAGGGAGATAGGAAAGAAAAGAAGGCAAGAAGGAAGGAGACCGGCAGGCTCAAGCTGATCAATAAAATCACAGGCTGGTTTCTAAAAAAGGCCAAATTTAATAATATATTGTGTACAACTTACCATAATAAACTTTCAAACCTATATTAAATGGACAATTTTTTAAGAAATTATAAATGATAAAGACTGACCTAACTAAATATGAAAGAACTTGACTAGACCCATGATCAAATCATAAGTTGAAATGATAATTAAAGATTAAGCCCTCAAATGGGAACCAGGCCCCAAAGGTTTTAAAAAGAAAATTCTAGTCCACCTTCAAAAAACAGGTAATTCCAATTTATACAAACTACTTCAGGGAATGCATTTTTAAAAGAGGGAGGACCCGTGAAATTCCCTAACTCAGGCTAGTGGACAAGCACAGAACGAAGGTCAGCATCACCCGTCAACACAGACACAAAAATCATCATCTTAATAGAGTAAAAACGAACATACTTATTTTTAAAATATTTAACCTAATAGAGTATGCCCCAGGAATAGAACGGCGTTTCAACAATCTATTCCTATGACCAGAGTAATTCTTTGCACTAACTTTTAAAGACAGTTTATTCGTGCTCTGTAACATGGCCTCAGTTAAGACCACGGCGTGGCACAGCCTCTTCTGACTCTGTTTTCCTCTCCCCCTTGTCACATCCCAGCTTATCTAAATCACAGCTCACAGTTCTCCTGCAACATCTTCGCTGGAAGGAACATCCAGTGTTCTAGTCTACTGGTCATCTAGAGTGCTAGTGTATCCAGGGTCTGCGCTTCCTTTTCAGAACGAAGATCAGAAAAACAAGATCAGGATAAACTGACAGTCTCTCTGGCAGTCAAGAGAGTGCGCGCGCCACACGAGAACGCACTACGGGCTGGCCTCGCCCGCCGCCCAGCAAGCTCACCAGGGTCATTTCTCGCCCACGTGGCAGTGCCATCTTATACTACCTTCCACCTGAAGATACTGAGCTGCGGTTGGAACAGGAAAAGTCAGATAATTTGACCAAAGTGTGCCAGAAATAAGCTGATAGAGAATTTAAACACATCTGTGCACAATAAAGCATGTGTTGCCAATTCACCAGAAAAATATACCCACAGGCCTGGGAATTATTTCATCCGGCTGTGGTTAAATTAGAAACAAAGAAATTACTCAAGAATGCTCAGTGGCAACTCTGCTCTCAAAGGTGGAATACTCTTCCCTTCAGAATAAGGAAGGAAATTTCTGTTTTACAAAACCATGTATGAAAGAATATCGCACTACTTTGCTCTAACCGCTAAACAAGTCATCTTTCTGACCATCAAAGGTATTCCTTCCCAAATTATAACTATCTTTTTCTTACAAGTTCTTCTAAGTATTTTTGTACTTACATATAATTTTTATAGAAATATAGTCTTGTTTTTGAGCTTTTTAATTTATCAATCTAACATGAACATTGTTTCTACTTCCATCACTATTCTACATAATTTATAGTGCTGCATAAGATTTCCCTGTGTGAATAGTGCATAATTTATGACCCATTCCTATTTTTGAACGTTTAGATTATTTCTAGTAAAGAACTAGATGCAACATGAAAGGATTAACATCCAAAACTTGTAAAGCATTACCATGAATAAATAAAAAATACAAACAAACCTATACAACATTATGAGCAAAAGACTTAATCTAGAAGAGTTTAAAAATTAGGAATATCAACTGCCAAGCAACATTTGAAAAGATGCTCACCTGCATTATAAATGAGGGGACTGACAATTAAAATACAGGGAGAGAGAGCTACATCTCCATCAGACTGGTGAAATGGCAAGGGTCAGACAACCGAGAGTCAGCAACGGTGGAAAACAACAGCTCTCACTGACTGCTTCTGTGTGAGTATAAATTTGTCAGTCACTTGAAAAAGTAGTTTGGCTTTACCTAGTAAAGCTGATACGTGGGAACACTATCGCCCTGAAACTCCATTCCCGGGTATACACCGTGAGAAGCCCCTGAACAAGTGCACCGGGATTCGCGTACAATGTTCACAGAGAGGTTGTTTAGAATAGTCCAAAACTGGCAACAATCCAAATTTCAAAAAAAAAAAAAAAAGGATAAATTACTTGTGACATGTGCATGATATGAATTAATAGACAGCAATGAACTGAGTGAAGTATAATTATGTATATCTACAGTGATAAAATTTCCCAGTGTTAAATGAAAGATGCAAGACAAGAAAGAACACTACTTTGATGTTTCAAGCTCCCACCAGTAGCCCTGGTTCCTTCTTCGCCGGTCCTACTTTTTTTTTCCCCATAGTTCTAATCTTCTTGGCCATCCTCTCTGCTCCGTAAGCATGAATCTTTGATTTTTGTTGTTGTTCACTAATGTAGCCAAAGCACCTAAAACTGTGGCTGGTACCTAGTTACTTGCTCAGTAAATATTTGCTGAAGGAATTAAATAATTGCTTCATATAATTAGGGACGCATACAGATATTAGAATGATAAAAAGATACGGCAATGAATATTATAAAAGCCATGGTGCAAGTAGCCTCCAGGGTAGGGAAGGTAAATGCCACACAGCAAGGACACCGAAAATTTCTCACTCTTAATCTAGGCTTTCAAATGTGCATATATATGTGTGTACACACACACACACACACACTCACACAAAGGGTGGAAGAAAAAGGTAGGTTTACAGTTGTTCACATGGAAAAACACACACAGACTATGATCACTACAACAGCTTCATTAACTCAGAAGAATGTCACAATGGCACAGTGCACGCAGATACAATCTCCTAGGTGCTCAAATTGCCGGCCCTCATTGTTTACACATTCCTGTAGCCTGCTTGCTATATTCAAGCACACTTCGGTACTGAGTTCTTTTTAAAGCTACTTTTGCCCACCCCAATGTGTGTGTGGGGGGGGGTGTATGCATATATATCTGTATATACATACAGACATACATCACAATAAGAAAAAGGATTGGAAAAAAACTCCATTAGCCTTCCTTCCCCTAACCCCTACTCCACTGCGCCCCAACTCTTGATTTCTTGTTACTGTGACCCAACATGAGTGTCAGGCAACAGCTAGAATAGATCATGCTGTAAAACAGTGGCAAACTCTGTCTAGGAATCTGATGGGAATTTTTGGATTTCCACTAATTTCACTACTGTTTCCAATTGAATTAGGAGCCATCGGACATTATTAGTAAACGTAAGAAAATAAAAGTTTTCACATCAACCAATAAAACATCAACTTCTGAGTATCACCACTCAGTATGTGGATCTGGATACAGGTAGATGTACATGTGGATGCACAACAGATATAATTCGGTATGAGGGAAATATTTCAAATATACCTGTATGCTGCCAAACTCAACATTCTCGTAATGGAAATGTGCACATTCAGCCATCTTCGGAAAGTGACCTTTAGTGAAGGGTAACCTGAAGTACATGGAATAAAGAGGTGAGATATGAGGCACTGGAGTGGTGAAAATTACTAGCCTACGGAGAAAATAAAATGGGTTCAAGAGCTCATGCAAGCAAAACTATTTAGTAAGCACATGCGCATGAGCACACATATACCCACACAAACGTTTTCAGAAACTGAATCAAATGAAAATAACAGTTAGCGCACAGCTCAAAAATCAAAAAAAAAAAAAAAATTGAAAAGCATCACTATACTCTCCTAATCATGGCTCAAGTCAATGCCCATAGAAAAACTACGCTTCCAGTGGGTGTTACGCAGACTGCGGACAGCCAGCTTCTAACGAGAAGCAGCATTCCCACCACAAAATACAAAGCCAGATTTTACCTGTGAATGTTGTCGCAGCCCATCAGTCCTGGGTGGGTGGGTCTGGGTGCAGAATGAACATTTTTATCCTTGTCTTTTCTACACTTGCATGAAAACATAGCTATCTAACCCTCTACCAGGTGAAAAGAGGGCTTTTCGGTTTAAAACTGAAGCAGACACCTTAAGATACTTCACTTAAATGTCAACTGCTGGCATCCATCTCAGGCCGTCTCAAAGGCAAAGCTGAGATGCAGCAATTCTCGTAACTTAAACAAACCTCAGTTTTCTCAATGAATGAGAATATGTATTAAAGGTACCTAGAGAGATATACTTGGGCTGTTCCTATTGAACAAACACAACCTAACAGACAATGACATAAAGTTGCAAGAACAAAATTTAAGTATATTCATAGGCCAGAGATAAATCTTCAGATGTATTTCACTAACCATTGAGTCATAATTTAAGGCTTACTGGTATAAGTTAATGTATGGAGAGTAAGAGTTTATTTAGTAAGAAATCTAAAGAAGAGTTTTAAGAGAACTGAAGAACTGATTTCCATTTATAGGAATTCATTTAAAAACCACTATAAAATTATACTTACTTTTTCACATGTTTAACCTTCATACTAGCTGTACTGCCACATGTCTTAAGACTAAGGTCTCCGGGGATCTCAGGGACATCTGCTCCTCTTGCCTTCAAAATAATAAAAACAGAAGATGCATGACTATTCCTTTATCATGAATACGTTTTTAAAAGCAGAGTATATAGTTCATTGTAATGGTTTTGCTGACTCTGTACCAACAGCAATACATAATGATTTAATAATCTCTTCTTAAAATAACTTATTCAGTTTAATTAAGAGTAAGAAAAAATATTCACCTAATTTAAATAGTTAACTTTACTGTATGAGGAAAAGTCTTCTGTGACAAGGGTTTTCATGCTCTTATACTCACATCTCAAAATCGGCTATTATGCATTGCAGCACAAACTTAAATCTCCCCAGGGGGGCGGTGGACTAAAGTAACCTTAGTTACAATGATTAATAAAAGGTACAATGGCAATACGAATACCATTAGGCACTCAGAAAAATGCATTTCTCACACCAAAACGTGAAAGTGACATCTCCAAACTTACTGCTTCCTCTGCCCCAGTTCCCATGTGGGGATTTTTTAAATTCTAGTGACACATTCAACCGCAAGGGTCTTCACACTCTGAACAAGATCAACAGCAAATCCAAAAATCCATTTTTAAAGAACACATTTATGTTATATTATCCATGGTTTCTTCATTAAATTTACTGGTGTGACACTGGTTAATAGGGTCACATATACAGGTTTTGGGTGCGCATTTCTGTGCTGCAAGACCTGTACATATTGCATAGTGTGCCCGCCACCCGAAGCCACGCTTCCCATGACCCGCGCCCTTAGTTATCACGGCCCATGCCGCCCGATGCAACAGGGGAGGATAAACTGGGCTGCGCGGCTGAACTGAGCAAAGGGGAGAATCACGAAGAAGATACGGTAAATGCACACAATGGGATGCTATTCAGCCATGAAAGAATGAACTCTTGCCATTTAGGACAACAGGATTGGACCTTCAGGGCCTTACACGAAGTAAAACATGTCAGATAAAGGAAGATACACACCCTATGATCTCACTTATCTGTGGCATCTAAAAATACAAAGCAAAAAAAAAAAAAAAAAAAAAGCTAAAAAACAGAAGAGATCGGTGTTTCACAGAGCCAGCAGGTAGGGAGCGGGCAAAATGGGTGAACAGGGTCAAAATGCACAAACTTTCCATGATAAAATGAAGAGGTCTGGGGATATAATGTACACTCTGGTGACTGTATTGCATATTTGAAAGTGGCTAAGAGAGTGTATCTTAGAAGTTCTTATCACACAAAAAAAGAAAAACACTTGTAATACGCATAGCGATGAATGTTTAACTAGACCTACTGTGGTGATTATACAAAAGCTCTTATGAACATTTATATGCATGCCTATTTGTGTACACATGGAGTATTTTGGGGGTCTACATTTGGGAGTATAGTTTTGTATCATGTGACATTGGCTATGATAATTAAACTTACAAATTATTATGTTGTGCACCTACTCCACTTAAGCCTATCCTAGTAACTTAGCCAAACGCTGTTGTTTTCTCTTATTAATCTCCCATAGGTAACACCCTCTATACAGCAAGTTGAAGCATTTTATTATATTATTATTGATATTTTATTGAAAAGCACTTTGCCTTTCTCTTACCTTTTTTTCCAATCATCAAAAGAATAACTTCCCTGAACAAGAGCTAATGGAGTGACAAATGCACATACTTTATTGATATCTGACATCCTCTACCCTCGTTACAACGCTAAAATTTAACAGCATTCAAGGAAAACACTCAAAGAATCCCAGTACTGCTAACTACCCTCGAGAAGCAAATCAGGGCTTTTATCTCTCATCTTATAATTCTCCTGGCTAATAAGCAGTACCTGTGAAAGTCTACAGTTAACAAAATTAAATTCTGCATGTTAACAGCTCTATTTTTATAAGTAAAAATATTTTACTATTACGATTTTGTTACACTTTGCTAAATAATCCTCCAGACTCACTGACCCATTTTCAGTGCCACCAACCATGTATGTGAGTGCCTATTTTTCACAACCTCACAAACACAGGATATTATCAATCTTTATCTTTGTCATCTGATAGGATTACATCCTTATCTTTCTTTTCTAATTTAAGTAAAAGAGTTTATTAAAATTCCCTTTTTAATGGGCATCTGTACTACCATATACATATATATCTGTGCATGTGTGTTACACACACGCTTAGTTTCAGATTCTGTTGTTTTTTAGATTTTTCAAAGAAAACATTTTTTAAGTCAAAGGTAGAAATATTTGTCTGACATAAAATAATCAAGATATTTAATGGCTTGCCATATAAATTATAAGCCTGGAAGGTCTAGTCCTTACATATCTTGATTTCAAGACTTACTATAAAGCAATAGTAATTTAAGTCAGTGTGGTACTGGACTGGGATGGACAAATTAAATAAATGTAGCAGAAAGTCTGGAGAAAGCCCACATATGACAACAAAGCTTGACTTATGACAAAAGTAACAATGCAATTCAAAAGAATATTACTGTGTCAATAAGATTGGCGTAGTTTTCTAAAATATGCAAAATAGGAATAAACCTTGAGCCTTCTCTAAACAATCTGCACAAAAAATCATTCAAGGTAGAAATTCACTCAATGTGAAGATTTAATGCTTCTAAAATTAAACAAGAATAATAAATAACATGTAAAAATGCCTTTAACAAGAAACAAAAAAGTTCTACCTATAAGAAAAAATGAATTCAATTACATCCAAATTAAAAACAACTTAAGTCATAAAAGCTCCTTAAAATAAATACTAACAACCCAATTCTTAAATGCCAAAACACCTAAAAGGGTACTTCATAAAAAAGGATACCAAATGGCCAATAATTGTAGATATTCAATGCCATTACTCATCAAGAAATGCAGACTAAAATCCTAACGGGATAATACTGAACAATCTCCAAACAGCTAAAAATTTTTTTTTAATTAAAATACCCAAGCTGGCAAAAAAACATGGAGCACTAAAATTCTCATTTATTGCTGATTGAAGTATAAAATAGTAATAACCACTCTGGAAAATTGTTTGATAATTCCTACTAACTTAAATATACATACACCCCCATGATCCTACAACTACACTCCCAAATGTCGACCCCCAAAATACTCCATATGTACACAAATACGCATGTATATAAACAGTCATAAGAACTTTTGTACAATCACCAGAAATGGAAACAACATGAATACACAAAAACAGAGGACTGCCTGAATAAATTAAGGTGTAATTAGACAATGAAATGCTGTGTTTGAAAAAAGATATTTATTAACATATTAAACAGCATGAATATATCTAACCATTACTACAATATGCGAAGGTGTGTATTGAGCTTAAATTAAAAATTAACAGAAAAATGTATCAACAGAATTTTTAATGACACTTAAGCTGGTTCTACATTTGTCTAAAATAGCTGTAACTGGAAAGACAATAAGGAAAGAACAGTATTCAAAGCCCACAAACAGAAGGCTGTTTTCTAACTTATGATAAGTTAACAGACGCCAAAACCATTTAAGAGGCGTTAGGACACCAGCAAGGAGAAGACTAAGACAATCAGAAAAGTTGTATAAATGCATTTAAGCACTAACGTGCAACCATATAGAAAAGACATCAATAAAGAAAAGACATAAGAGGCTATGATCTTTGAGAGAGATAAATCATGGAAGGTGAACTCTCTAGTCAGCCAAACCCCTGATAAAGAGAAAAGTTTAACAGCAGCTGGGAAAAGAACATATACACACATTACATTCACAGGACTACATATGAGAAAAGCAAAATGCTTGGATTGAGTTCCTTTAATTGCTTTTTTAAACTGTCAAAACAGAGTTCTATATCCAGCAAAATTTATTTCAAAAAAAAATGTGAGAATTCTAGTCTCTTCCACTGCTGATAATGAAAACTCTACAAAAAACAAAATGAAATAAAATAACAAGCAACTACCTGATAATTCTAAAAAATTTAATGAGAGCGAGTGGATTGGAAAGCAAAGTCAAAACCTGAGAAATGACTAATAATATACCGGCAGTGTGCTTCCCGGTTTCCCCCAAGCCCACCCCACCCCCTCTCAGAACTGCCTAAGGAGAAGCTGTATCATGATATAAGCAGCAAGCAATAAACAGACTGTTTCAAAAAATACAATTTCTGGCCACAGGACTTCAAAAATACCCCTTGAATATGGAAAAATAGCCAAGAGATTCCTTTTATTCCTCTTCTTCCAACGTGGCCCAAGGACAGGCTTGAGAGCAGTACCCCAGCTGTAGCAGGGGCATATGAGACTCTCAGTGGGAACCCGTTCTTCGCAATAGTCTTCGAGACCCTGTTGCGTAAAGACTGTAGGGAAAATCCTTGCTATTTTTTTCCTCTTTCTTCTCCCCCTGTTTAGGCCTGGAGCGGCCCCAGTCATGAAACACTGTGTGCAGCCCAGAGACTAACAGGCCTGGCGAACTCCTTCCTTCCAGCCAGAGAAATCAGGGAAAGCATCCTTTGAGAGCAGACAATGTGTACAAAATAGAAACTGATGTTAAAATCGCCACCCAAACAAGGCTAGACAGAAACTTCTGTCTAAACCCCACCAGGTTAATGCCTGGTAAGAGAGAAAAGCCAAGATTCTCCAGAGGATTTTATTAGGAGTCAGTCTCAGAACATAATAGTCCAAGTGTCCACAATAGAATAAAAAATAACTGGATAAACCAAAAGCCAGTAAAATATGAGAAATTTCCCCCAAGAAGATAATCAAATACCAAATATGAGATGAAACATGTTGGATTTATCAAAGACTTTAAAACATGTATTATAAACATGCTACATTAGATACTGAAACCAGTGGTAAAACAAAAATTTCTCCAAAACTGTGCCTATACAAAAATACCAAACTTTTAGATAGGACAAGGGCCTCAAGGTCTGAGCAGTTCTTACTAAATGATATTGTTGCTAAATGTTAAAAGGTAACACAGTATTTTGCAGATGCAGCTGTAGACAGGATGAGCTTGACAGAAACTAAACCAGATACATGTAGCCAACAAAACAGGAAGAAATTAACAT